GTTGGGGACGAGAAAGTCAGTGTGTCTTCGACATCCCCCAAGGGGTCAGACATCCCCTGAGGGGTCCCAGACCGGAGAGGGTACAGGTGGGCTGAGGAACACTGCCCTCCCCCCCCGCCCCGTGCACAAATTTTGTGCACTGGGACTCTCTGTCCTATCTAATAAAAGACAAAAAGGTAATTAACCGTACCTCCACTACGCTTCCCATTGGCTAATCAGTGAGATATGCAAATTAACTGCCAACCAAGATGGAAGCCAAGGTTCCCTGCCTGCCATGGCCCTGCTCTGAGCTCAGAAAGCAACAGCTCCAAAAGCAACAGAGTTTCAATTATAGAAGCTAAACAAACCCCAAATACCTGCTTTCAGCCAGGCATGGCCTCAGAGCTGGGAGCGCCAGTGAAGGCAACAGAGTTTCAATTATAGAAGGTAAATAAATCCCAGAATAAAAAAAAAAGAAAAAAAGGAGAGGCTGGGAGTTTCAGTCGCAGGCCAGCCTGAAAACGGCCCTCAGCCCCTCACCCAGACTGGCCAGGCACCCCAGTGGGGACCCCCACCCTGAAGGGGGTGTGACCAGCTGCAAACAGCCATCAGCCCCTCACCCAGGCTGGCCAGGCACCCAAGTGGGACCCCCACCCTGATCTGGGACACCCTTCAGGGCAAACCAGCCGGCCCCCACCCGTGCACCAGGCCTCTATCCTATATAGTAAAAGGGTAATATGCAAACTGACCCTAACAGCAGAAAGACTGGGAATGACTGGTCACTATGACACACACTGACCACCAAGGGGCAGACGCTCAATGCAGGAGCTGCCCTCTGGTGGTCAGTGCACTCCCACATGGGGGAGCTCTGCTCAGCCACAAGCCAGGCTGACGGCTGCCAGTACAGCGGTGGTGGTGGGAGCCTCTCCTGCCTCCTCAGCAGCGCTAAGGATGTCTGACTGCAGCTTAGGTCTGCTCCCCACTGGCAAGTGGACATCCCCTGAGGGCTGCCGGGCTGCCAGAGGGATGTCTGATTGCCAGCTTAGGCCCAATCCCCTGGGGAGCAGGCCTAAGCCAGCAGGTGGTCATCCCCCGAGGGGTCCCCGACTGCAAGAGGGCACAGGCCGGGCTGAGGGACCCCGCCCCCCGAGTGCACAAATTTTTGTGCACCGGGCCTCTAGTAGTAAATGCTGTACTTATCATTTAAATACCGCAGTAACTGAGGGGCTATTGTTCTGTCCAGTGTACAACACTGAGGCTCAAAGACGTTAAATTAATTGTCCAAATTTAAGTAGGTGGCATATCTGAAATTCAAGTTCTCTTAGACCTCTCTCTGAAACTGCTTTTATTTCCCTGTAGTAAACAACTTTCCTAGAACTAAACAGGTTGTATAACAATAACCAAACTAACTCAGAATATCTGCTTTTTAGTTCCAGCACCACCGTCCACCATGTACACCATTAGCAGGCACACCAGCAGGTACAGGTTGTGATGGGTAGAGTAAAAGTATCTAAAGGCCCTTCGAATTCTAAAAGTATTAGAGGCCTGGTGCACGAATTCATGCATAGGTGTGGTCCCTTGGCCTAAGTGGAAATCGCGGCCTATCAGGGGGGCCAGCCGGCAGGGGGGAGGGATCGCAGGAGGTTGGCCAGTTAGAGGGACTGTGGGAGGTTGGCTGGCCAGCCGGAGGGTGGGAAGAGGGGCTGCGGGAGGTTGGCTAGCCTGGGGGAGGGGCCATGGGCTGTTGGCTATGGGAGTGCACTGACCACCAGAGGGCAGCTCCTGTGATGAGCATCTGCCCCTGGTGGTCAGTGCGCGTCATAGTGACTGGTTGACCCGTTGTTCCGATCATTCAGTCGTAATGCTCGCTTAGGCTTTTATATATATAGATATGTTTACATTTAGCATACCTTATCTGGGGACATTTAGGTAAATGTGTGACTCCTGTTTTAGGTGATAGGTAAACTTCTAATTCAGTAGACACAGCTCATAGAATTGTGGTCACTAAATAAATAATTTTGCTTTACCCACCCATTAGCACTAAAGAGCATAAACCCAAGAAAAAGCCCTTTGTGATTTGCCTTAGGTGAGAAAATTTGGCTTCCTCCCTTCTCACTGTCCTGCTGCATTCTGACTCGTAGGGCCAGTGAAAACCCCCAGTGTAGTTTTGGAAAGAGCACAGCCATGTGTGAATAGCTGGATCAGAAAGAAATAATGGATTAGACTTCCATTCTCTAACCTCTTGCCTGGTGGAGGGACAACAGAAGCAACAGCAGGTGCATCTGAAGGGTCTCTGCATTGTCATGATTTCTCGGCCCATAAAGTCAGTGACCCGGAGGACAAAGGGCCTTAGTGTCCGGTAAGCATTCCTGGTAAAGTCGTCTGTGTCTTCGGTTACAATGTACACCATCTGGTCCAGGTTGTTTTTAATATCATATTTATTATTAGTTTCAAAACGTGTTATCACTGAAAAATAAAATGAGGAAACCATCTTACATTAGAAGTAGTTAAGTGGTTCTCAAAAAGGGGAAGAAGAGAAATAAACCTCCAATTATTAAAAACAAATAAAGTTATGGGGATGTATAGGAAATAGTTAATAATATTGTAATAACTTTGTATGGTGACAGAAGATAACTAAATTTATTCTGGTGATCACATCATAAGGAATATACATGTTGAATCACTATGCTGTACAACTGAAACTAATATAATTTACATGTCAACTATCCTATATAATAAAAGAGAAACATGCAAATTGACCCCCGCAATGCCCACAAGCCACGCCCACCGGCCAATGAGGAGTGGTATGCAAATTAACCCAACAAAGATGGTGGGTTAATTTGCATACACAGGCACCAGGGGCGGGGCAGGTACTTCCCCATGTCGCCATGGCGATGCTGGGGAAGTTCCAGCCCCACAGCCGATTGCACACGTATGGGCACCAGGGAGCCGGGGGCAGGGCGGCAGGCACAGATGCTGGGGAGCTGGGGTCAGGAGCTTCCCCCGTGTCACCATGGCAATGCTGGGGAAGTTCCTGCCCAAGTAACACAGGGGAAGCTCCCGCCCCACTGGAGTGCGTGCGAGGGCACTGACGGAGGTTCTCACCCTGCGGCCGCTTGCGCGCGCTCTGGCACTAAAAGGCTTGTGTCCCTGGGACAGGCGGGACAGGCGTCCTTGGGAGCCAGGCCACCCGGAGCCTGTAGGCCCGCACTTAGGCCCAGAGCAGCTGGGGTCCCGGAACATGATAGGGGGTGCATGTCAGGCTGAGGGGACTCCCCCCGCCCCCGTGCATGAATTTCGTGCACTGGGCCCCTAATACTTTAATAAAAAATAAGTCCTTGTAGGGGCTTAAAGCAGAATAGATTTGATAAAATTTCAGGTAAAATATGTATAATTTATTAGAATGTTAAAATAATTTTTATTCCTTATAAGCAAGTAATTTTAAAAATTTGAAACACTTATTTTAAGAAGTCCAGTGTAAAATAATTTTTAAACCTTTCCCACATAAGCAAAGATTGAAACAATAGTCTGAGAGTACTTGAATTCAGAAAACAATTATACAACCATATAAGTGAACAAGACACTGGGCTAGAACTTAGCAGATTTGCAGCTCTGCCACTGATTAGCTAACTATGATGTGCCTGACTAACTAATTTAGATTCTGGTTCCTTATTTTGCTCATCCATGAGGAGTTAACATGGAGGAGCTGGGATGGGTAAAGGCAGGGTAGTTGTCCAGATAAAATATAAATCTTTGCAAAGTCTAAAACTTACATATGATGTATACATATATAAAATTATACAATACTTTCATTACTTTCCTGAAAAGAGGATATCATTTTCTCTTTGAATCACTAAAAAGTGGTCAATATAAATAAGGACATAGACATTGGATAATGCGCATTTCCACCTGGTTCAAATACTGCCAATCACTACTGAACTAATTATACATACTTTCCAGAGGTTCAAAATGCTGAAGAACATGTATGTTGTCCAACTGTTGGGATAAAAAAAAAGCAATTAGGAGAGCTAGAAATAACATTATTAAGTCAAATCAGCATTAGAAAAGAAACTGATGAGATAGGTATTAAAATAGGTCAATTGATACCAAAATATATTTTTGAAATAGAATGGAATAAAAAACATTTTGATCAAGTGGAATCAGCTTATGTGCACCTGACCAGGTGGTTACTAGAGCTATGGAGATAGAAAAAACACTTTTCTCCAGTTCCACTGTAAAAGACTGGTACACTTGTCTAAAATATCAGAAAATCACCTCCTACCACAGTAACAGAATTAGAAGCAGCTGGGCTAATACAGGTTGTCCCTAGCTTAGTTCCTACTCAGTGATCTCTCTAGCATGCCACTCAGACTGGAGGTGCACAGGAACTTCAGGACCTTTTGACAAGGACCAGCCATAGAGAAAGAAATTTTCTCAGTGGCTTAGGGAGAGTGAATCAGCCAGGGTGGATTCTGCTCCATACAGGAGTGTCCAATTTTATAACATTTCCCAGGAACTTCTGAGAGATTAACATTCTGATTTCCACTTACTTGAGCTATTAAACACTAAGACCTTCCCTAGATGTATACTTTAATTCTGGGAGGGTCTGAGAGGACAGGAAGCACGTGAATGGACAGGATGAGGGCAAAGGAGAGGAAACTTTCTGGGATAGGATCCCTTCAAAAGGGAGGTTGAGAATACAATTAAATAAATGTCTAATTTCACTTAGGAATCACTCTAAAGAGAGACAGTTTAATGGGCCCATTGTCAGTTATACTTGAGAACATGCTGGCAGAAGAGAAAAAACTCCTTGAGGATGGACTGATTATATCAATACAATTTTAGATAATAAAGATCATTAGACCATTCCAAATCCCTGAGTCCAGAACACTGCCTGAAATACTACATTTCACCAAATATTTGTTGAATACATTAACTAATGAAAAATACACCAATGTGATTAATAAATAACATTTAAAATTATAACTTGACATGAATGTTTTGTAGTGATTGTTTATAGGAGGGTATAGAGCAGTGGTTCCCAACCTTTTTTAGCCAAGCCCCACCTAAGCATCTCTAAAATCCTGATGCACCCCTTGTGACATATAATTCTTATTATTCAAAAAAGTGAACTCCTATTCATGTGGAGGAAGCCTAAAAGGCCATTAACTTGGTCTAAACAAGCTTCCAAAGAACATGGCATCCATGAAAGAGAAAAATAAAAGAACAAAAGGACAGCTGAAGTACTGAGGAAGAAATCACTAAGAAATTGTTAAAAAAATAATATGAAGTGATATGAAAAAATACCAAATAAAGTTTTAAAACATATAATAGAGAACTGAAATGCATAAATATGTGACAATATATACTTATATACTGCATATGAGGCCCCTAGAACCATAAATGCAAAAAAACTTACTGTTAATAACTCATTCTCGAATTGCCCCCCTTAAAAATCAAATTGCTCCCCTATAGGGTGTGTGCCCCACGTTGGGAACCACTGCTATAGAGAGAACATAATCCTTCCTTCATTCAAAACTTTTCTTGTATGAAAACAAAATCAGGTGAGGGGTTTAAACATGCTTTAAAAATACCAAAAGTGGCCACTAAGGCAGGTCATGGCCCCTTTAAAAATCTAGAAAGTTAAAATCTAGGATTAAGTAAAAATATTCACTGTATGATAAAAGCATCGACTGCTGAACAAAATTTTCTAAGGACATGACATCCATTAATGTGGAAGAAGTTTGACCAATAAGATAGTATGGCTGTTAAGAAACAGCTCTCTAACAAACTGGTGGAGTCATGGGCTAAGCCAATACTCTAGAAATAACATAATCCTGCTACTGTGAATGCTACAATCTTGATAGTTCTGATAAAGATTCATGTGATCTGCATATGAGATGGCAGAAAGGGTAGGATAAAGAAAATGATAAAGATGATGATGGGATAAACACAAATACAAAACAAATAAACAAACAAAACCAACCAACCAAACAAACAAACAAGAAGATGAAGGGCTCTATGTCTTCTGCTCATATTTATTTTAACTAATAAATCCACACAGCTATCATCCATTGGGTGGGCCCTGTGTGCCAAAAATATTAGGCACATTACAAACCTATTCAAGGTTGTAGAGTAAGGGGGGAGCAGAGCTAGAATTAAAATCCAGGTTTGTCTGGCTCCAAACCTGTTTTATTTTTTTTTTTTAACTCAAAATATTCCTGAAAGGAAAAACAGAATTCATGAAATATGAGAATGTAACATTAGTCAGAGTAATAGAAGAAAATGAGAAAGTTTTTTGTCTTTTTAAAATTTAAATTCTTTTTTGTTTAAAGTATTACATGAGTCTCCTTCCCCCCCCCATTGACCTCTCCCATCCCCCAGCACATGCCCTAACCCCCTGCCAGTGTCTGTGTCCATTGGTTATGCTAATATGCATGCATACAAGTCCTTTGGTTGATCTCTTACACCCTCACACCCCGCCTTCCCTTATAGGTTGGACAGTCTGTTCGATGCTTCTATGTCGCTGGTTCTATTTTTGTTCATCAGTTTATGTTGTTCATTATATTCCATATATGAGTGACATCATGTGATATTTATCTTTCTCTGACTTATTTCGCTTAGCATAATGCTCTCCAGTTCCATCCATAATGTTGCAAATGGTAAGAATTCCTTTTTTACAGCAGCGTAGTATTCCACTGTGTAGATGTACCAGTTTTCTAATCCACTCATCTGTTGATGGGCACTTAGGCTGGAGAAACTGTTCTTTTAATTTTTAAAAAAATATATTTTATTGATTTTTTACAGAGAGGAAGGGAGAGGGATAGAGAGTTAGAAACATCGATGAGAGAGAAACTTCGATCAGCTGCCTCTTGCACACCTCCTATTAGGGATGTGCCCACAACCAAGGTACATGCCCTTGACCGGAATCAAACCCTTCAGTCTGCAGGCCGACGCTCTATCCATTGAGCCAAACCAGTCAGGGCTGTTTTTTTAATATTTAAGTGAACAATATTGAAGCTATACATTTTCAAAAGGGAAATGACTCCAAATCTATGATTTCCAAGGACAATTTGAGTTATTTATCTGGCATAATAAAAGACTTTCCAAAATTGAGTAACTTATACATCTACACTAATAAAAGAGAAACATGGTAATTAGCGTACAACCACTACCCTTCCCATTGGCTAATCTCATATCCTTATGCAAACTAACAGTCAGCCAAGATAGTGGCCGGCAGCCAGGCAGCTGGAAGCGAACATGAGGCTTGCTTGCTCCAGTGACGGCAGACTCCAACGTTCCCCGCCTGACTTGCCGGCCTCTGTGCTGCAACTCTAAGAAACATTGTAACAAATATAAAAGCTAAACAAAACCCCAGAAACCAGCTTTCAGCCGGCCGGGATCTCAGGGCTGGAGTTATACATTGTTTTGATTATAGAACGCAAACAAACCAGATACCTGCTTTCAGCAGCGGAAGCCTAAGAGCTAGAGCCAGAGCTAAAGCTGGCCCAGAAAAAAAAAAGTAAAAGAAAAAAAGGAGTAGTTGGGAGCTTCAGTCAACTGCCAGCCTGAAAGCAGCCCTCAGCTCCTCACCCAGACTGGCCAGGCACCCCAGTGAGGACCCCCACCCTGAAGGGTGTGTTACCAGCTGCAAACAGCCATCATCACCTCATCCAGGCTGGCCAGGCACCCCAGTGGGGACCCTCATCCTGATCCAGGACACCCTTCAGGGCAAACCAGCCAGCCCCCAGGCCTCTATCCTATATAGTCAAAGGGTAATATGCCTCCCAGCACCTGGATCAGCAGAGCCAGGAGGCCTCCTGGCACCGGATCAGCGTGACAGGGAGCAGCGCCCAAACTCCCTGATCGCCCTGCGGCTCTGTGTGTGACAAGGTGCGGCGCCCCAACCCCCCCCTACACGGGCCCTGCTCTGTGTGTGATGGAGTAGAGCCATAACCTCCCCATCGGCCCTGCCCTGAGTGTGACAGTGGCAGCGCCCCAACCCCCTGATCAGCCCTGCTCTGTGGGTGATAGAGGGCGGTGCCCCAACCCCCTGATCCGCCCTGCTGTGTGTGTGACAGGGGGCGGTGCCCTTACTCCCCTATCGGCCCTACTCTGTGAGTGACAGGGGGGAGCTCCTCAACCCCCTGATCGGCCTTGCTCTGTGCGTGACAGGGGGGAGCTCCCCAACCTCCTGATGGGCCCTGCTCTGTGTGTGACAGGGGGGAGCTCCTCAACCCCCTGATTGACCCTGCTCTGTGTGTGACAGGGTACGGAGCCCCAACCCCCCTGATGGGCCCTGCTCTGTGCGTGACAGGGGGCAGCGCCCCAACCTCCTGATTGGCCCTGCAGGGTACAGAGCCCCAACCCCCCTGATGGGCCCTGCTCTGTGCGTCACAGGGGGTGGCGCCGCAACCTCCCCATCAACCCTGCCTTGAGTGTGATAGGGGGCGGTGCCCCAACCCCCCAATCAGCCCTACCCTGAGCGTGACTGAGGGTGGCATCACAACCTCCCAATCTGCCCTGCTCTGTGCATGACAGGGGGCGGCGCCCCAACTCCCCAATCAGCCTTGCTCTGAGCCCGACCAGGGGCTGCACCTAGGGATTGGGCCTGCCCTCTGCCCCCCAGGAGCAGGCCTAAGCCAGCAGGTCATTATCTCCCAAGGGGTCCCAGACTGCGAGAGGGCACAGGCCGGGCTGAGGGACACCCCTTCCCCGCCCCGAGTGCACAAATTTTTGTGAACCGGGCCTCTAGTATTTTATAAGGTTCTAAAATAATACAGTGGTAGTTTACTCTAGCACTTTACCTGAATGACTGGCTTTGCATTTTGTCATTATTTTGTCAAAACAACAACTTAATACAAATTTTGGCTCATTTAACCTCTCGAGTGCTGGGGAGCACAATCACGGTTCGAAATGGCGTCCAGTTCTAAGTCTGCTTTTATTAGTGATGATGATATTGCTAAATATGTCAATGTAGTAAAGGTTTCCTTAAGTTTTTGAATATGTAACTTCATTTACTTGCGATTCATAATTTTTTTCCTAAACTGCTGTAAAATCAGCAAAAATGCCTTGGCAATTTTAGCATAGTTCCTAGGATATTGGTTGGTACTCAAAGGGTTAAAATCCAAATTTTCCTGATCCAACAGTACTGACTTGCAATACATTGTAGCCATGGTTTCAATGCAGAGGATTATCAAAGTCTTTCTCATTATATAAAACTGAAAAGAAAAGATATCAACTTAAAGGAGTATTTGGATGACTATGTGGGAAGACAAGTATTGAATAGGCAATTCCCTTACTTGTGATGCATTTCAACACTTCCTTTTTCTAAAAGTAAAACATGGCTCAGTTGTTTCTAAGGGACTTCCAAAACTAGCTTCATCTTATTTTCATTAAGCAATCCTTTTTAGTTTTTGACATGGGTTTTGAAACATACCATTTAGTACAGCAACCTGGCAAATTGCCATTTCTGATCTGGACATCCTGTTAGCTCCAGAATGTCCACATAGTTGGAAATTATAGAGTCACTGTGCTATGAGAAGTGGTTCTTTGGAATTTGGCCTGAAGCCATATCTTTGGTAGGTCCCCTATTTTTATTTACATTGCATGTTTTTTTGGGGGAAGAGGCATGGATGATGAAAGCTACGGGTGGTGAGAAAAGGTAATGGGCTAAGGCACTCAGTAACTCATTCACTGTCTACAGTTTTGTTCTTTTTTATGTTGCTTTTCTTCATGTTAACGCTACTTCTTTGCAAATGGCACCCCGATTAGGATCTTTGTTAGTTTTTCTTATATTCGTATTCCTATATTTTAAACTGCCTTTGACAGGGCATCATGAATGTCTTAAAATTCAACATATAACCTTTAGAAAAACCATACTCATCCCACCAAAACCACACCTATTCTCTCTGACCTCCTTTCACATTTCTAAACTTAGTACCCTCACTCTTAATCTCACAAAATAGATATCTGTCATTACTAGTTTGTTACTTTACCCACTCAATTTAGTCTTTTGTCTCTTATTGAATCCCCAGTCATACTTCATTAGAAAATGTAAATTGGATTTGTGTAAAGTACCTGGGTTAAGTATTCTAGACCAGGAGGGCAGTCTGGCATAAGAGTTGGCCCTGGCATCCATGTTATTGGAGCAGACTGACTTGGCACTGGATAGTTGCCAGGCTGGTACTGGATAGGATGTGTACCACCAGTTGGCTGGCAGTACGGGAAGGCACTGGGCTGCTGTGGATTATAATATCCCATAGGCACGCCCCTTGGGTAGCCTGCAGGTGGAAGAACAGCTGCTCCAGGGGGTCCTGTGTTAAAAAATAAATGAAAGTATTAGATATCATTAATACTGCAATATATTGGAAGTTAGCATGACTTTTTACATTAAGATGTTATGGATCCCATAACATCCACTTAGAAATAACAAGATGTTCTAACTTCCGAGTATGTACTATTGTATCAACACTGTTCTAATGGTATTGCATATCAATTTATTTAGTCCTCTTGAATTTTATGAGATAATTATTCCTATTTCAAAGGTGTAGAAATAAGGCTGAAACATGAAGTAACATGTTAAACTCTCTATGCATTAGGTTTGTTCCTCCTTTGAAGAAATAATATATCTACTTCATTAGGCTATAGTGGATTACCACAAGACTAGCACATAATTAGTACAGTAAATTTCTGTTAAACCTCACAAAGATAGTAAGGTCTACTTTAAAGGAGTACTTTTAATGACTGCTATCTAATTCCAGAAAGGCTTCACAACCCATCCCTATTAGCAGTCTTTTCCATCCCCTGGCCCCCTCCTCAGTTCCTGGAAACAACGGTCTCTACAGACTTGCCTAATCTAGATATTTCATATAAATGAAATCATATATGTAGCCTTTGTGTCTGGTTTCTTTCACTTAGTACCCATGTTGTAGCATTCTTTTTACCTTACTCTTTTGTTATATTCAATTAATTTTGAATTTATTGTAATGCTCTTTTTTGTTTATTGAGAAATAATTTACATATAGTAAAAGTCACCCTTTTTGGTGTACAGTCAATGAATTTTCAAACTTACGCAGTCAGACAAGATACAGAACATTTCCAGGACCCCAAAAGTTTCCATCAAACCCCTTTGTAGATCATTCCTTTTTTAAAAATTCTTTTTGTTTTACTTTTTATGGGCAACTAATATTTCACTGCATGGATATATCACATTTTATATATCATGTAATCATTTGATGGACATTTGGATTGTTTCTACTTTCTGGCTATTATTATAAGTAATATTTCAGTGCACATTGGTGTACAAATACAGATATATATATATAAACACACACATATACATAGGGGGCCCTCAGCCCGGCCTGTGCCCTCACAGTCTGGGAACCCTCAGGGGTGACCACTTGCTGGCTTAGGCCTGCTCCCCGGAGGATTGGGCCTAAGATGGCAATCAGACATCCATCTGGCAGCCCAGCAGCCCTCAGGGGATGTCCACTTGCCAGCAGGGAGCAGACCTGAGCTGCAGTCAGACATCCTTAGCGCTGCTGAGGAGGCAGGAGGGGCTCCAACCACCACTGCTGTACTGGCAGCCATCAGCCTGGCTTGTGGCTGAGCAGAGCTCCCCCATGTGAGAGTGCAATGACCACCAGAGGGCAGCTCCTGCATTGAGCATCTGCCCCCTGGTGGTCAGTGTGTGTCATAGTAATCAGTTATTCCCAGTCTTTCTGCTGTTAGGGTCAGTTTGCATATAGGATAGAGGCCTGGTGCACGGGTGGGGGCCAGCTGGTTTCCCCTGAAGGGTGATCTGGATCAGGGTGGGGGTCCCACTTGGGTGCCTGGCCAGCCTGGGTGAGGGGCTGATGGCTGTTTGCAGCTGGTCACACACCCTTCAGGGTGGGGGTCCCCACTGGGGTGCCTGTCAAGCCTGGATGAGGGGTTGATGGCTGTATGCAGCTGGTCACACCCCCTTCAGGGTGGGGGTCCCCACTGGGGTGCCTGGCCAGTCTGGGTAAGGGGCTGAGGGCCGTTTTCAGGCTAGTGGGCAACTAAAGCTTCCAGCCTCTCCTTTTTTTCTTTTTTTTTTATTCTGGGATATATTTACGTTCTATAGCTGTCATTGGAGCTGAGAGCTGGCTCCAGCTCTGAGGCCTGGCTCCAGCTCTGAGGCCGTGGCTGGCTGAAAGCAGGTATTTGGGGTTTGTTTAGCTTCTATAATTGAAACATTGTTGCTTCAGGAGCTCAGAGCTGGGCCGCGGCAGGCGGGGAACCTTGGCTTCCTCCATCACTGGAGCAAGCAATCCTCCTGCTCGCTTCAGCTGCGTGGCTGCCGGTCGCCATCTTTGTTAACTAATTTGCATATCCTGCTGATTAGCCAATGGGAAGTGTAGCAGAGGTACGGTTAATTACCCTTTTTGTCTATTATTAGATAAGATATATACATACATACACAGTGGGGCCTTGACTTACGAGTGTCCCGACGAACGAGTTTTTTTGAGATACCAGCTGTCTCTCGGCCTATTTTTTGCATTGAGTTGATAGAGTAATTTGAGTTAATGAGCTCCTTAATGAGCTCGGTCTCGGAACAAATTAAACTCGTAAGTCAAGGCCCCACTGTGTGTGTGTGTGTGTGTGTGGGGGATATATATATATATATATATATATATATATATATATATATATATATATATAGAGTTGGCAAATGGTAACTCCGTGTTCAACTTTTTGAGGAACTGTCAAACTATTTTCTAAAGGGCTTCACACTCCCATTAGAAGTATATGAGAGCTCTAATTTCTCCACATCCTCACCAATACTTACTATCTTTTATCTTAGTTATTTTACTGAGTGTGAAGTGGTATCTATTGTGTTTTCTTTAAAAATCTATTTTTATTGATTTTAGAGAGAGAGGAAGATAGATATAGAGAGAGAAACATTGATGAGAGAGGAACATTGATTGGTTGCCTCCTGCATGCCCCCTATTTGGGATTGAGCCTGCAACCTGGTCATGTGCCCTGACTGGGAATTGAATAGGTGACCTTTTGGTGCATGGGTCGATGCTCAAACATTGAGGCATACCAGCGAGGCTCCTATTGTGCTTTTGATTTGCATTTTCCTGATGACTAATGATGATGAGCACCATTTCATGTACTTACTGGACATCTGTATATCTTCTTTGGAAAAATGTCTATTCAAATCCGTCCTTAGACCACTTTAAAACTGAATTTCTTAATCTTTTTGTTGTTGCATTGTAAGTATTGTTTACATAGTTAGGCTAAAAATCTCTTGCCAGATAAATGATTTATAAATATTTTCTCATTCTGTTGACTGCCTTTTCTCTTTAATAGTATTCTTTGACACACACAAGTTTTTAATTTTTATGAAATTCAATTAATCTATTTTTCTTTGGTTGACTGTGTTTTAGATCTCATGTATAAGAAATTGCTGCTTAGGCAGAGAACCAAGATGGCGGCATAAGATATATACCTGTACATGCTACCCCCACAACCACATTAAAACAACTAAAAGACAAAACGGCTATCATACAGAATCATGAGAAAGCTGGCTGAGTGGAAGTTCTACAACTAGAAGTAAAGAAAAAAGCACACTGAGACTGGGTAGGAGGTTTGGAGGCACCAAGAGCAGAGGTATGGAGGTGTGCAAAATGGGCTGCAACTGGGTGCAAGGTTTTTTTCAATCGGAAGGGAGATACAAGCTCCGGACTACACTAAACTTGTTTCCAGCAAGACTCTGGGGACCCAGACTCCTACGGGGAGAAACTGGACTGTCTTGCATTGGGTCGAAAAGTGAGGGTGGCTTTCTCGCAGAGCTGCTCACAGGGATCATTGTTACTGTGGGGGCACCGGACTTGGGGACTCGGGGACGCCGAGACGAGGAGAAATGGAGACATGGAGAGGGCTGACAGACAGTCATCACTGTTTGCTCCACCCTGGTGATTCTCTGAGACCCCGCCCAACCCAATTTACAACCCCACCCAAGCTGTGCGCAGTGGCGCAAATGAATCGCCTGTCCTTTCACTGCCTAACCTAACAAACTGCAGCTGGGTTAGAGAGCTCCAAAACTTACCAACTCCAAACAAAGAGGAGAAATCTGCAGATCTCGCTGTAGCTCCTGCTGGGTGGACTCATGCAGTGGCTGACTTTGCACCTCCTTAGAGATCCAGGAGTCAGTATACCCAGTGGTCAGATACCAGATTTCAACTCCTTACATCCATAAGTGACACACTCAAGAGGCAGACTCAGTGAGCACCAAAGCCCCACTGAAGCAAGTCCTGCCCCATAAGGGTGTCTCCAGCACAGCAGTTCTTCCACTATAGACACAGTGGCTCCTCGCAGGCAATTGGCCTGGAGGTCATTTCCTCCCAGGGATACCAATAGCAATCAAGGCTTAACTACAACAAGACTGTGCACCCAGCCCACAAAGGGGTGCACCAAGAGTGTCCACCTCAGGTAATTGGGGAGGCTGAGCCACTGGGCCCAATAGGACACCTACCACACAAAGACACTCTATCAACACAGGGAAGCAGCCAAAATGCAGAGACAAAGAAACATGTCACAAATGAAAGAAATGGAGGAAAGCAAACTACTGGATATAGAGGTCAAAACCACAGGTATAAGGTTACTCAAGAATCTTCTTTAAACCTATGAGGAACTTAGTGAAACCTTCAAGGATCTTAATGAGAATGCCAAAAAAAATGGAAAAGGACCAATCAGAAATTAAGCATACACTGACTGAAATAAAGAATGATATACAGAGATCCAACAGCAGACTAGAGGATCCCAAGAATCAAGTCAAAGATTTGAAATACGAGGAAGCAAAAAACACCCATCCTGAAAAGAAAAAAGAATCCAAAAATATGAAGATACTGTAAGGAGCCTCTGGGACAACTTCAAACGTACCAACATCTGAATTATGGGGGTGCCAGAAGAAGAGAGACAGCAAGATATTGAAAGCCTATTTGAAGAAATAATGACAAAAAACTCCCCCTACCTGATGAAAGAAATAGACTTATAAGTCCAGGAAGTGCAGAGAACCCCAAACAAGAGGAATCCAAAGAGGACCACACCAAGACACATCATAATTAAAATGCCAAGGGCAAAAGACAAAGAGAGAATCTTAAAAGCAGCAAGAGAAGAACAGTTAGTTACCTACAAGGGAGTACCCATATGACTGTCAGCTGATTTCTCAACAGAAACTATGCAAGCCAGAAAGGAGTGGCAAGAAATATTCAAAGTGATGAATAGCAAGAACCTACAACCAAGATTGCTCTATCGAGCAAAGCTATCATTTAGAATTGAAGGT